CTAAATGACTGCAACCCCCGCTTTAAAAGGTTCTACTCCTAAATGACAACATGGGTAACTGGTACAAACATCAACACATTCAAAAATACAAAACTCACTTTCATACCACCACAGAACAATCCACTCCAAAAAGGAGTCCACAAACACAGATTCGACAACTACTTGTACAAAGAAAAACAAACGAGCGGTCATCTGCACCAACAGGAGGAACAAAATGGCCGACCAAGGCCAAATATCTTGCTTGTCCCCCTGCGAACTCACACAAGTTAATGAATGACTGCTCATGAATGAATAAGAGAACCCATACAAACCAAGTTAACCAAAATAAGACCAAGACAGACAAAGTTAAAACGGTCAACCAACAAACAAAGCAGCAGTGCAGTCACATCACTGATGTACATTCGTCTCCAACCAAGTTACTGGAAACCCCTGGATGTGCAGTTACACCTGCTGAACATAAAACAAAGATTATCTACAATATTACTCTGCTTAAAACACATGACAAGCTCCCATCATACATACCGAGAGAGATTTACCATGTAGCAAAATGCATGGTAGCTCACCACGCAACACCACAGCCACTAGCATGCTGATGACCAAAAGATGACAACAAATAAAGCCTCTCCTTAAATAAACAAAGCAATCATTTTTATAACTGGGAGACTAACCTGAAAAAGGCTTAACTGCTAAACAGGAGGATGCACCAAGCCCCATCCCTTGTTCATAATGACGTACTTTCGCAAAGGTCTAGTACCCAGGATGATGCATCCCAATTAATCAAACCCTTCCTTTTATATATCATCAATGCCAACACTGATAGGTTCATAGGATTTAAACCATGTTAACCAATCACAAAGGAGTAGGGGCACTGATAGGATAGGTTCACAGGCTGGTATGACATCAGCCAATCATACCTGGGTTATACCTTACCCTGCTACACACATGTATCCAACATATATCTTTCCAGGCAGAGCTTCCTCATCAAAAGTGATCACAACCAACATGCTATCACTTACACTTCCGTTCCTATTTGTTTTTAGACGTTTGACTTCCCTTACATTTGCATTTGCTATATTTTCTTTCACATCTTCTAACGATATGTTTACCGGTATTCCTGTGACAACCCCTTTTACGAATTTCTTGCCATTAGCCATAGAACATTCCACTCTCTTTCCATTTATCTTGTTCATTTTGATTACTTTACCTTGCTGTTTTGCATCCTTACAAATAATCAACAATGATCCATTTCTTAGAATTTTAGCACTCTTTAATTCACCAATTTCCTTATTTAGCGCTTTTGTCAACTGTATTGGATTCATTCCTTCAAACGAGTCTCCTTCATGTATAAGTTTCGCAAACACTTTATATTCCTCTCTCTTCATTTCTTCTACAGTTGATCCCCTGTCAGAGTCACTTCCATCCGATTTACTCTGTCGTTTCTTTTTCCGTTTATTATTCCTAACCGTATCCCATTTTCCATAAATCTCGCCACCTACTTCCATCTCTCCCAATTCATTTCCTGAACCGTCACTTCCCTCTGCATATTCCTGCCCATTCCAGTTGTTGCCAACCACCTTGGGAGCCAATCGTCTCGTCATCACACGTCCCCAACTAAGGACATTTCTTTACATTTATGTTGAAAGCTGAAGCTTGCGATTATGGTAAGGGGCGTTACATTTCCGACGCGTGCTTGTGGTGTTCGGCCAATCACAAGGTACTGGGTCTGCTGGCCAATCAGAGCAGACTGTGCTTGTCGAAGGAGGGGCTTTGTAGAAAACGACGTGTTTGAGAGAGGCGGGGCATAGAGGAACTACAATAATGTACAGTATTTGAAAAATAATGTGTTTTTTGAACATTAAAGCATGTCAGCATATTCTGTTACACCAAATACACCAAATAAGGATCTTTAAAATAGCATCATATGACCCCTTTAAGTTGTTAAAAATTCCAGATCTTTTTATCATAATATTTATATTGAAGTGTATTGTATTTATAATATTTTATCATTAATTATTTTGTATTTTTATCATTTTGTATTGTCTTAAGTTGTTAAAATTTTCTTTTTCTTAATAAAAGCTGTATATTTAATTTGTGTGGATGGATTGCCATTTTGTTGTCTATTATATGTATATATGTAGGCATTCATTAGCCGTCTATTTGATGACTAGTCTATTCTTGGGACCTAATGGATAGAGAGTCGGACTTGTAACCTGAAGGTTGTGGGTTCGAGTCTCAGGTCTGCCAGGGAGAGTGAATATCCAGCACTCTCTCCACCTTTGATACCACGACTGAGGTGAGACACTTGAGCAAGGCACCGGACCCCCAACTGCTCCCTGGGGGCTGCAGCATTGGGCGTGTGTGTTTGTTCACTACTCGCTGCTGTGTGTGTGTGTGTGTGCACTTGGATGAGTAGGCACTGACAGCCCAAATTTAGCCTTGTTTTAGGCTAGACGTCTGGGCTGTGTTTGGACGGCTATTAGACGTCTTTTAAAATGAAAATTGCTTGCTGGGTGGCGACAAGTGACTGTGTTTTGTCGTGTGTCAATTGTCTCCATCCCTAATCAAACACACCTGAACAACCTAATCAGGGTCTTCAAGATTAGGCAGCTACAGGCAGGTGAGTTTCATCAGAGTTGGAGTTGCGCCAGGCCTCCTTGGATCCTTAAAAACGCATTTTCATAAAACCCTCCAAAGCCTCCTGACTCACTAAATCAGCGCATTTTTCAGCAGAGTGTATTGTGAGGTCGCAGGTCGAGAGGATGACTGCTCGAGTGTGCTTCTCGTTGATTGCCGTTTTATTTTGTGTCTCTGTTTGTTTGAGCACAAGGGACACTGAAGGAGCAGCCACAGGTGGTCTTTTAACTTCATTACTCCGTGGGAAGAAATATATAAGAACTTGTGTAAAAGGGCTTTAGGCACACAATCAAAACGTATAAAAATACAGTAGCCTACCAGACGTCCAGTGAAAGTTCAACTTTGTGATGGTGTAGTTTGAGTCATTAAGGTTGCTGTTATCTGTTTATATTTCTTCCATTAAACAAGGAAAACGCAATAACCAAGATTTACATTATTAATGTTCTATAGCTACACAATTATGTACGAACTAAATTATTTAATGTAGAAGTTACATTTGTTTTTATGTAGTATTTACTTCACCACAAAATCATTTTTATTAGTGTAGTAATGTCCCTCCTTGCCTTTTGAAATAGTTTAGGGATAAATGGTAGATTTTTAAACTACTTTGGTTTGATACAGACATTTGTCTGTTATACTTCAGTTTGATATGTCACACAACCACTGACTTGCAAGTTCTGAGAAAGTGATTTCAGCTCTCTGTGGTCTCTCCTAATGATCCTGTTGAATCCTCTTAATAGTGCCCGGTCGGTGTCTAGCGAAGCTGATGGTTGTGCCGTCCTATCAAGGATGGTTCAAATAAAGATTGCTCTAGAAGACATGCATGCTTTAGATATGATTGTGGGGCTGTATGTTTACTCCCTGCTTTCAATGAGTTTCAATTAATAGTGAATGTTAGAGGTTTTCCAAAGAAATGCTGAAAAAAAGTAAAAACTAAATTCTCTCAAATTGCTAGTTTCATGTAATTGCAAAGACAAACCACAAGCAACACATTGATTTAAACTTGAAGTTTTGAAGGAGATTGACATTTTTGTTTAATTCACTTGTTTTTTTTTTTGTTTTTTTTTCTATTATGTGTTTTGTGTGTCAGCAGAACCAGCAAAGCCAGGAGTGTGTCCTAGAAAAAATCTTGAAGTAGCAGTGTCAGGAGTGTGTGTAGGGTCGTGTTCCTATGACCATGACTGCCCAAACAATCAGAAATGCTGCCGCAGTGGATGTGGACGTCAGTGTATGCCTCCATATAATGGTATTTGTTATATTGGTGTCAGCTTGCTCCCCCCCCCCGAAGTCATTATGGTTTCTCTGTCATGCATTTGTATGTCAGCTGGACCAGCAAAGCCAGGAGTGTGTCCTAGAAAGGATCTTGAAGCAATGTTAGGAGTGTGTGCTGAGATGTGTTCTCATGACAGTGACTGTCCAAATGATGAGAAATGCTGCAGCAATGGATGTGGACATCAGTGTATGCCTCCATATAAAGGTATTTATATTATATTGGTGTGTGGGTCAGGGTTGTTGTTTAAGTTCGGTTTATATTTTATTTTTGTCACCAGGACCAGAAAAGCCAGGACTGTCCAAAAAATCCTGAAATAGCGCTTTTAGGGGAGTGTGTTGAGAGGTGTTCTCATGACCGTGACTGTCTAAAAGATGAGAAACTCTTCCCATGATGATCGATGACCTGCCAGACCGAAGTGTTGCCCGACCACCTGTGCATGCAGCTAACCATGCCAGATTAACCATTGGAAAAGGTTTTTTTTTTTTGCATACCATTTTTGAGGTCTTCTACGTTCACCAAATAAATCTCAGTTTAGCAAAACTTGTGTTATGTGGATTTTTATTTTATAAGTGCTTTTCTCCAGGAGCTTGGCAGCAAAAAGTAGTGGGAAATCCTTGAACTGAAGTATAAAGCTACCAGAAATGAAACCAAGAACACAGGTTAACACTAATGCAAGAGAAGTGTAGGATTTGTGTAAATCTTGGTTTAATAGTTTTGAAAAATGTTCAGTATTTAGCGAGTCGGTATGTCTCCAAAGACTCCAGATTTGGTGACTCTTTTTATGTAGTCCTAATGACTGATGTATAATTGACTTGACTCATCCCTTTTCCTAAAATACGGGTTAAAGCCTGAAATGTAGAATTTATCATGTTATGAGTATTAATTTGTGACTTTTTTTTTCTTAGTTACCATATTCCTTGCCATTCCCCTTTTATTCAGTTTTAAATTAGTGGTGGTCTTAAAGGGGTCATCAGATGCCCATTTTCCACAAGTTGGTATGATTCTTTAGGGTCATAATGAAGTCTATAACATACTTTGGTGAATTTCTCAATAGTAGTGTAAAACGCCCTTTTTACTTCGTCAAAACCAGCTCAGCAAAAATCGATCTGTTTTTGCATGTTGCTTTAAATGATAATGAGCTTTGCTGACCCCGCCCCTCTCTTCTGTGGGGTGACGAACAGTGCTCTGAGTGACCGTTTACTTTAGCCGCATTTAGCTATGAAACGCTCGGGTTACTAACGTAACCTCGGTTCCCTGAGATAAGGGAAAGAGCGTTGTGTATGGGGAAAACTCCTGTTTTACTCTGTACTGAGGCCTGATTGTAGCTGCACAAACCAATGGCACTTTAGCTGCAGGCTGAGCTTCTTCCTCCTTCGGCTTCTTGACAGCAGAGTCAGCGACGAGATGATCCTCGTTGCGGAAGGAGCATGATCTGAAGAAATGGCGCTGCGAGCTGACTTACATGTCGGTTCCGCCCTTTCTGGCGGGCTAAAGCACCATTGGTTTGTGCAGCTACAAAAACGTGAACAAATCAGGCTTCAGTACGGAGTAAAACAGGAGTTTTCCCCATACATAATGTGAAGTGAACGTTCGAAAGGGAACATGCTAACTATTATTAGGAACAGCGATTGCAAAGATTCATTGAAAAAAACCTTATACTCACTTCTGCTGTAAGTGAAGCTGGATAACGAATGATTCGTGTGAACATAGATGCATTTATTCCCTTCACAAACAAAAGTAATCTATGCCACTGTGACGCAATTGGCCTTGGAGTGCAGGTTTCGGAGGGTGCATCCTGAATTGGGACAGCTTACGTCGTGACGGTGATGCAATCACACTTCAAATGCGCACTTCGGAGTCACACACTTCAGTTTGGGACAGCCTTCGTTGCGCCGCTGT